AACCCCGTAGAATCTACGCTATTCGCGACTCCAGCCACCTATAGAGTCGCCACTATCGGGTAAATATGGCGGTCTAGAACAGGTCGCATACCGCGCTACGTGCCAGCTCAACGCGCAATGCGCGGGTTTCAGCAGGCAAGCATTGAACCCAAAATGGTTTTTCACGCAATTTTCACTCATTGCGTGTCAGACCTTCGGCGATGCGTTGGCGTAAGCGAGCTTCCGAAGGCTCGACCTTTTTCAAGGAAGCGATGGAACGACTGCGGTGCTGATGAAACCTCGATAAGCGCGGAATGTCCGGTTCATCCGGTAGTGTAAGTTGCGTTCAGAGTGACCTGGACAGCACGCCGGTAGGAAGGTAACAACAGAGTCACCGCGACAACCGTTCCATCACGCCAGGCGCCGACAACAGGTAATCACGCAAGCCCAAAAGAGACGAGCAGAAATCGCGAAACGACTTACCTGTTCCGTTCAGTTCAGCACCTTCCCGCTAGGTGCCGTTCGTTTTGCTAGACTCGCGTAGTGTCACTGAGAGCTTTAGAAAAGGAAGATATATGGCGACAAAGACGACACAAAGAATAACAAACTTAAATCAAAGGGACGACGGACACTTCTTTCAAAAGAAGTGTACGTCGTACCTTTGTTTTAAGTGTGTTATATTCTTTCTGTCGTCTTTGTCCAATAACCAACACGCTCCAAAGTTTATATATGGCGACACCTCCTTTATAGGGCATCTCTTTAGCAATCCCCAGCCAATCAAAGTGCGCTATTAGCCTATAAGAAGGCCGAACAAGCAATCCGAAAGCAAGAAGCGTGAACATAATAAATCTCGCGTTGTCACGGCCTTGACAACGTCAGCGGTTGGAGCCGAGTATCGCAAATAATCCAGGGGCATTTCGAAACATGCTCTCATATACGGTTCACACCTGCGACGTCACCGCCGGCGTATGTCGCGATGCTTTTCGGGATCAAGACTCAGCTACGAGTGACAAGTATACCGTAGTGTGTCTGAAAAAGTATATGACGGCGCACCTAACAACATGTCGTTCAGCTTGGCTCTCTTGGGAACTCGTATTTTCAGCGATAAATGCGAGCCCGTCCCAACCGGGTCACAACGGGTCTGGTTCAATCTTGAATGACCAATGACGGTCATTGATGACCGTCATTGACCGTCATTGAATGATCAATGACGGTCAATTTTAAATTGGTACTTCACTAATCGCATATCGTTCAGTTGGCCAATAGAAAGGGGATAGAAAGTCAAAAGTCAGCTTTTCGGTACGAACATTTCAAAATATAGCGGACTATTTTGTACCTTTTTCCTTCGAAAGCTCTCCGCCTTTTCACTATGATACATCCGTGGTTCCCAAAGCGCGTCAGCGGTGCCAACCTGACGTCAGCAAACCCCTGCTCACGCATTGGACACGAGAACTGCGTCACTCGGACGTATACGCTCGTCAACAATCAATCCGTCGACGAATATTCGGATTCGCGTTCGTGGCCAATGAGTGCCCTGACGGAACTTATCGTCACTGGGGAAGTGCTATGGTGCGCATAAAAAGCACGGTGGAAGCTAGGAGTCATCGCATCGGTGCCGAAGAATGTCACGAGGACGTGATGTCACAATTCGCATTGTGAAATCACACTGGTCACACAAAAGCCGTATGCAGACATGTTGAAAGCAGGGTTGTAAAAGTTACTTCAAAAATGTACCTAAGGTACAGTAAAGCGCGATCCAAACCAACGCTTCTTTTTGCGCCTGTAGGTCGTGCGGCTGCGGATGTGACGCATTTCGTGGCGTTTTTGCTGTTTCCGGGCGCGCTTTCTGAGTCAGAACCGTGCGCTTTGGTTTGGACGGGCGAAACTTCGGGCGAGCGCGCACGCGCGCACGCAGGCACGAGCGCACAAGCAAAGTGCAACTGCGACAGACAGTGTTGCCAGATGGTCCCACCGAAAAACCGCCAAACGGCTGGGAGGTATAGCCCAAATATAGCCAAAGCCATAAAATAAATATAGCCCAAAATAGCCAAGACTAAAAAGAACGATTTTTAAGCCTTTTATTGACAATTTTTCATACGCGCAAAAAACAACATGTTAAATTCTCTTTTTGAACCCTCTGATGCGCCACTTTTTGTGTGCATTAGGTCCCCTGATATATAAAAAAATGCTTCAGAAGGATGAAAATTTCTGAAACAATTAATTACCCATCCTTTGTAGGATTTCAGAAATAGAAAACTTACATGAACAGCTGTATTATGAGGCCCGGGAGTTATAACCATACAGTAAAATAACAGAATGCAGGAGCAGAAGTGCCAGAACTGGGAGTTTCAAACCAGCACCCCTTATATCTAAGGTTCTTACCAATAACCCACCCGTCTATTTTTCTTTGTGTAGAATATGAGCGTCCCCCGTTCCGGTTCACGCTATTTTTGATTCTGTTTCATTTCTTAAAGTTGGCGATGACTAAGAATTTTCGCAATGGGCACCAAAGCTGCGTTTGGAGAGTTCAGTCTACGTCCGGGTAGAAGACGCGCTACTGGACCTGTAAAAACAGTGCAATTTGTTTGTTTGATTTGCTTCACTGCGCTGTGGGGAGACCGCTTGAACTCTGCTAGCATTGCTTCTCTGCGCATTGTGAAAACCCCGACGTTAGTAGAAGTTTGAAGCCATCCTCCTTCCTCTCTCTCCTCTCAACTAGCCAAAAGAGAAACAATTTTTTTTCGAAACTGACTAGAAGTTCGAAAATTAACTAATCGAACCTCAAAGTTCGACGTCGAACCTGAGGTTCGTCAAGAGTTCGCCGCACCCTTAGATATAGCCCAAAAATAGCCACATAGCCAAACGCGAAATTTTTACGCCAACTAGGAAAAAATGTAGCCCAATTTGGCTATATATAGCCCAATCTGGCAACACTGGCGACAGACTGGCCGGCCAGACGGCGAGAGAAAGAGAAAGGGAGAGAGATCGCGTTGTCATGTTGGAAGAGAATAAAAGGGGGGGAGGAGAGGGCAGCCAGACGGCGAGAAACGCGGAGCCGGAACTAGCTTGCCCTCCACCGATTGGCCGGGACACAGGAGCGCCCTACTACGTCACCGCGCGTTTTTGTGCGCGTTGAGAAAGAAGTTGAAGTTATCCAACTTTCTTGTGCGCGCCCGGAAGGAGCGAAGAAGCGGCGCGACGTCACGAAAATACGTCACATCCGCAGCCGCACGACCTACAGGCGCAAAAAGAAGCTTTGGTTTGGATCGCGCTTTACAGCTACTCATATGAAAAGGTACCTATAGTCCGTTGCAACCTAAGAACGAAGGGCGAGGGTAAGACGGGCCGGGGAGGAGGAAGCAGACGGAACGCTGGAGAAGAGAGGGGGAAACCTCCTTCTCTCTTTAGCGTTCCGTCTGCTTCCTCCTCCCCAACCCCTCTTACCCTCGCCCTTTGTTCTTAGGTTGCAACGGACTATAGGTACTCGCTTAAAAAGTACCTAGGTACAGTTACAGTTACTTTAAAGATACTTACTTTATTTATTTTCCACAAATTCGTCAAAATATATTGGAAGTAAAGCTTTTTATACTAAGGGTACACACGAAACTAGTTCGATAAAAGTGCTTTATTGCTATCAATGCGAGAAATAAGGAAAACCCCCTTCACATGAGCCGGTGCTGACGTCGACGGGCCGAGAATGCGTCGGCCGCATGAAGAAACGCACGAGTCGAGAGCATATGCACCTAACCTTTGCGACATCCAGCAAAAGGCTTCAAGCTTCCTCGGTTATGACGAAAGTAATCCCTGGAGAAGGGGAACAAGAGGGATTCTTTTTTTTCCCCCGTCAGTAGGAAGAAAAATAAGCTTTCTTTTTTTTCTTTAGGAACTTTCTCAGTTTTGATAACCGCCGAGTCCGATTTATTGAGTGGAAACGGTATTATATCCGCGATGTTACATTTTTTTACGGTTGTAATTATGATTCATTTTAATTATATTTTATATTGCATTTATGGCGGAAGAAAGCCACCACCAGGACAAGATACAGGCACCAGGAACTGTGCACATCTTTCAAGTCATCTCTTCTCTTGTATAGTTGTCAGAGGAGCTTCAAACATGCAATGAAGTCGGTTTCGGTTTGAGATGAAGGAAGCAGGTCGCTATTTTCTCCAGACGTAGTTCCGAAGCGATTTAATAAATTGGTGTCGCTTGAACGGCATCGCTAATCCACCGCTCGCTCAAATGAACACCGCCATTCGCTAAAGTGTCGTTCGATGAAACATCATGGGTGGGGCTTCGTTCGCTAAAACGTCGCTCGATCAAGTCAGTGCCTCCCAGGTCGTACCCAACTCAACGTTAATCACGGCACATGGTAGTGTGTTGATACTTCAAGATTTATAGTTTCTACCATTTTGATGAAGTGAATAAAAAAGTATCAGTAAAAGTAACTTCACTTAGTTACAAAATACTGGAAAATGTACCTAAGACACAGATACAGATACCGAGAAATGAAAGTACCTAGGTTTGTACCTCAGGTACAACGAAAGTACCTAGATACCGATTTTCAGTTGCATAGATACTTTACAACCCTGGTTGAAAGCATACATGTGTGTGCAGCAACTATCATTCCAAACATGCTTGAGACGCATCCGCAGATAATACTCGTGAGTTTCAGTATTGCGTATACGAGCGAACGTAAGCCCTGTGCGTTTTCGCTAGCGTTGCGTGTTCCACACTGCGCGTGCGCGGAGCCCAAACTGCGGCCTTGGGTTGGCGCATGGCGACTTCGCGCATGCGCATCCCGGAGAACACAACGCTAACGAAAACGCACAGGGTTTGCGTTTGCTCGTATACGCAATACTAAAACTCACTACTGTCTGTCAAAAACGTCTGCCGAGAACACCGTGTTTTTTGTCTTATGCGCGAGCAGCGTGACCACGGGGTTCCATGAAGAAAAGATGAACAGTGTGACGGGGTGCGACCCCTTTAGATTTTGGTCAATGTCACTGAATCGGAGGGCTCACCGGTTGTCGTCACCAGGCGGGCGAAGTAGGTGCCTCCGCGGCAGATCGGGCGATCGCTCGATGGACACTCTTCGGGTGAAGTCGTTCCATCTGCGAATATGAGCGAAGAGGGTGACTGAATTAAGGAGAGATTTGTAAATCACCGAGTGACTTGTTATATCGTGACTGCCATCACACGTTTGGCTCACTTTAATTTGGACACAACGTTCGATGCGGCAAATACGAGGTTTAAAACTCTTCAACGAGCCACAATTATTACATTACTATTATAATTATTACTATTAAATGCCCTCCGCGTATTCTGCGCGGAGGGTATTTCACTCGGTCATTCACATAAATAAATAAGTAAAAATGTTATCATTTTGGCGGGATTAAGGTACCGTTATGAATAACTCGACAGAGGACTCGACTCTCCGCGGAAAAAGCCGGAAGCGTTTTACGACTTCACAGCTCATAAACGTCTCACGAAACAAGCGGTCATTCGATTACAGACACCAAAAAATACACACACCGCTGTTTTCGTGTCTGTAATCAAGGGAGTGCCTGTTTTGTAAGACATTTATGCGCTGTGAAGTGGTAAGATGGAAAACCAACTAGCCCAAGCTGCTGTGTTTCCAAGCCGGAAACGACACGTCAAAAGTTCCAATCGAGCCTGAACGTCCAACGTGACGGAATATCCAACGAGATGAAAGATGCAATTCGGCTCAAATCTCTATCGAGTCCGGATGTCCAACGAGCCGGAAAATACGACTAACGAGACAGAAGGAACCACGCGTCGACGCATATGTTCGCCATCGCCATTCCCCGACATTTCTGTCACAGCGATCCATGATGGCTCCTCCGACTGTTCTTAGAATGAGTAGCCGCACGTGCATTTTTAAGAGTTGCGCGCACGAGGAATGTCATGGAACACCCTTCGCGCACGATTGAATTCACCGGAAGCAGCATAGCCATAAGCATAGAGGGTGGAAACAAAACCACCGAACAGACGCCCAAATTGAGACACGGTGATTATTGTGGCGCCGCACTTCGGGGTGACTTGATTCATCCCTCTTATTGTCGCAGCTAATCAGGTTGCGACAATAGCCTATCAGAACGTCGAAGAACCAATCAGAAAGCAAGAAAAAAGCCGCGCTCGGCATTTCTTAGGGATAGAAACTGAGGGAGAGGGAGGAGAGGTGAGTGCGGCGGAGACGTCAGCTCTGATTGGTAGGATTAGTAGGATCTCTGCTCTTTGTCTCGCTCAAAATCAGAGCGAACCGGAGAGTCGCCTGTTCCTCGCCCAGTGTCGCGCGTTCGAACGCGGGTCATGAAACGCGTATCTGCTTTAGAAAACTCAAAGAATAATCGCTGCCCAGTACAAAACTCATGTCCACTGAAACGCATCTGCCTGTTATACGACGACTCAGAACATTTTATAACGCTCTGTAATAATTGGGGTTGTGTGGATATTTATACAGCGTGTACACTCTAAAAAAAAAGTCCGTGAGTTTGTTTTCCCACACAACACTTGGAGAGCCAACCACCGCAACTTACAGAGGCACCTTAGCGAATGACGATGCCGAAACATAAGTTTAGACCAAAAAACGCAGTCTGAGTTGTGACATTAAGCAATGCAAGCGTGACGTTTTGCATTGCTTAATGTCACAACTCAGACTGCGTTTTTTGGTCTAAACGTATGTTTCGGCATTGCCATTCGCTGAGCTGCCTCCGTAAGTTGTGGTGATTGGCTCTCCGAGTATTGTGCGTGAAAGTAGACGCACAAACTTTTTTTAGAGTGTAGTTGGTCAGCCATTTCAAAGTTGCGACGAGTCACTCGCTATAGATGGGAAAGTTAGCCAGTGCAGTACAACCGCTTGCCTGGGGTCTTTAACGTACACCACGCAGCAGTGATACACGACCGCACGCCGGTACAATGCTCATGTAGATCAAAACGGGCAGGAGCGGGGATTGGGCCCAGGATCCCACCTTCCGTCCGAGCACAGCGGACGCTAGGAGCCATCCCAGCCAATGCGGCGTTGAGGGAGTGTCATGCGACCTTGAGCTCCCTGTGTCGCCCCGCCCCACCGGCAGGTCACGCGACTTTCTCCCGGCGCTGGATCGGCTGGGATGGCTCGTGGCGTCCACTGCGCTCGGACTGACGGTGAAACGGAGTATGGGTTCTGCAACGCGAGCTTTCGCTCCGCGTGCTCCGAGCGGGTGTGCGCTAAAGTGTGCGCTAGCCCACTCGGCCACCGATCCCCCCACTAATCTCTATTGTAGTAGGCTGGATCGCGGATCGAGAGCCCGTCGGTGTCGCCACCGGCGGCCTTTGCTTGACACCAGGCAATACACGCAAATCTATGGGAGAAACGCAGACAAGTAAAAATATTGAAGCATATACGCTGTGCTCGGAGCCGAGTATTTTGTGGTGTCTGCGATCCTTGTGTCGGGTGTTTCAAGATCGAATCGGTATTTGTCAAACGTTCGAACGCCGATTAAAAAAAACAAACGTACCGAAGCACCTACGGCTGAGCTGGCAGGCTGCTCTCGTAGCAAACAAAGTAACTCGCCGCCAATGAGACCGTCCTCGGGGAAGCCCAGAAGTTGATGAATGACAAAGAAGTTCCACCTCGACAGCGGCTTCCCGGGAGTGAGCGAATTCCGCGTAAAGCTTTCGAGCTTGTCGTCTGCTAAACCCAACTCAACGAAACCGCCACCGACTCCGCGGTAACTCTAGGTAACTCTCGCCTCATTGAGCTGCACTTCAGCGAAGTCACTCTCGACCACAAAATATTTATTTATAAGAACTGCGAGGGCTGTCAGTTTTAATGTCTGTACGCAAGCTATTTGACGGGCTCATCGAAAAGCAACCAAAATGTTTCAGTGCCGACAACAGCTTGGAAACGGGGGAAACGGATCTTTTTCTCTTTCGTCCCATAGAGTCCAATGCATTTGGTGGTGTCAATCAATGGCCGCCGGTGGCGACACTCGGCCCCGGCTGCCCAGGCCGCCGGTCCGCGATCCAGCCTACTACAATAGAGATCAGCGGATCCTCCCTTTATAACGCTCTCTCAGTTGCTTGCAATGCATCGCGCTCTTCTTGTGTCTCGGCCTCCTCTAAATAACACTACCATTTAACTATTTTTCTTCCTTTTTTTTTTTTTTTACGTGATTTGGCACACGCGCGTCCTAGCGGGAGCAAACATTTCAAGAAATCGGTGTTCTCAGGTTTGAATCGATTCTGGATGTTTGACGCCGACAAATGTTTATCGCGGCCAAAACCGGAAAGTTACGGCTTAGCTATGCGCTTCGAGGGGAGTCCTGGTTACAAAACTCAATATGCAAGCGACATGTATCATTGAGTGATTTCCATAATAGCGCGACAAAATGCAGCGTCTCTACTATACCCTTAAAAAATTACGATGGCTTCGAAGGGCAGGTTGAGCTTTTCATTTTGTTCATATGGGATATCTGCAGCGGAATTCCCACTGTAAAACGAGCCGGAAAATTCGGCGACTGAACATAGACAGCTCGAACTTCAGCCGAATTTCGCACTTATCAGAACAGTTTTGCTGTGGGAAATTTCAAGACGAAGTTCTCTTTGCGTAAAATATGATAAAAAACTTGCCAAAGTAAAGGCTGGGCGTGTTCACATACGACTGAATTTGCGACGCTAAAGCGACGCTATTTACTTGTTGAGTCATCTACCGCTAGGCGCAGCGAGTAAACGACGCACTCTGTTGTATGCTCGCTGCGCCCATCGGTAGATGGCGCCACAAGTAAATACACTCTCGGAAATAAAGTGTATATTCTTACACTTGTCCAATATACGACACCCCAAAACTTCCATTCGACGTACAGCGCGCTGACGTCGAACCGATGTTCCAACTTGCATGAGCGGCTTGATAGTCGAGTGGTACAACTTATTAAAATAGCAAGTGTACGTGTTACCGACCACACACACAAAAAAAAAAAAAAAAGATTGTTTTTTTTTAATTTTAGTACAAAATCTCAGTGTTTTTTTTTATTTTTTTTTTAAGTCTTTGATACACATTTTTGCTGTTTAATAAGGTACCTTTCACCGTTCTCAAGCCCCTCGTGAAGTTGGAGCCGTCTTTTCGACATCAACGCGCTGGACGTCGTATTGAAGTTTTGGGGTGTCGTACATGAGACAAGGGGTGTAAGAATATACCTTTCTCTTTCCGAGAGTGTAGCTTCTTACCTGGTCATCTGGGAACGCACCCAACCTTTAGTTTGGCAAGTTTTTGCTATCATTTTCTTACAGGAAGAGAACTTCGCCTTGAAACTTCTCACGGTAAGACTGACCTGCTCAGTACACATTCGGCGAAAGTTTGAGCTTTCAATGTTGAGGCGCCCGTTTTTACGACTTGGTCCGCTCGGAACACTCTAGACTGCATATCCAAGATGACAAAACCGCGTAGTGCTGATAGGGATGACGTCATCACAGAAGGCCAACGCTGGGCACAGATTGAACACGACGCCTGCGTCAACGTTCGGCTCCAACTTGACTCCGCGCCGAGCGCTGACGCAGCACTCGTTTCGAATCTGTGTCCAGCGTTGGCCTTCGCTGGTGGCGCAATAACCTTGTCTTCTAGGTGGTGTTACTGAAAGAGGGCAAGAGAGAAAAAAGGGGAAAGGGCTACCGGCGCTTTCCTCCTGGCTGGTTAGTTAGGAACGAGCGGAGGACTCGATGGCTCCTATTACGATACCAGATATTTCGCCGATCGACGTATTTGCGCTTGCATTGTATCGTTATCGGATATTCTTATCGAATGTACCGGAACGGTCTACTAAAACTCCCTAATGTGAAAAGAAGTATAACTTCGTACGACGCACCATTTCGATTTCGCCGGTCTTCCTAGATCGTGACCGTTTAGCGCTTTCCACGTTCGGAGTTCCGGAAAGAGTTGTCGTTTCTCTGTCCGCAACGCTGTCCGCGACGAGCGTGCGCTGCAGGAAGTGGGTGGACGATGGCGCCGCTTCTCACATCACTGCCCTCCCGCGTGTGCACCCAAACAGCGAATTATACGAGACGCCGTTCGTGGGCCCATGTTTTCCTCCAATCGTTCTCTTGGTCCGAGAGGTCG